ACAATGTAAAATTCTAGTATTTTGTTTAAAAAAAAATCTTTACTTACTGTCTAGTTCAATAATGAAAAATACAATTATTATTATTTTTTAGTCTAAGTGTCTTTGTCATGTAGTCATGTGTCTTTTTAAAACGCAAATTAACCAAAAATATTAGCAAAATGCCTAGAGAAAGAAAAAATTTTCTATGAGACTGAGATTGTGAAGGGAAGTTTTAGTTTACATATAAAATTAATGCATGTACATGATCTTGTTACAAGATAGTTTCCTCATTTGTTTGCGTTTCATGAAATAGATTGTAGATTTATAGAACCAGGGGTAACAGTGCGCCACTACGACTTATAAGGATGTATTTTTCCCCTCCCTGAGCACGCGACATACTCAACAACACACACTCGACACCCACTCTCCTGATGAGCTCGAACAACTTGTGGGTAACTCCGCCGTCGTGAGAGCAAAGTCGCTTATTCCCTTCTACAACGGGCGGGAAATTCACACTCTCCCAGAAGGTATTGAGTAAAATAAGTTTTGAAGAAGCACCCTAGCGAAGAGGCTAGTTGGAAAAACCATAAAGCTTTTTTTTTGGGATCGATCAGCATGGTTGTTCCATACAAAAAACTTCAATATACAATTAGCTTAGATATTTTAGTAAATTCTATTATAATTTTCTAAAAAAGAAATTGGGGAATATTTTCAAAAAATGAAAGTGAATTTTTACCTATTGTTAGAAGTGGTAAACTTCTTTAAATTCCAAATTTGACTAAACTAATCCAAATTTCGATTATAGGTTGGAAGCATATAAATAATAATATATGTATGTACGTACAGGTGAAATAGATGTGCATTGTATTTAATAAAGGATATTTTTTCACCTTTAAACAGGGGGAGTAAAATCCCAAGTCAACAATAAAACACATCAACATTCACACCCACAATATTAAAAATCTAGCACCATTAATTCCTGTTCTTTCTCTCTTTGTTTTTTGTGTAATTTGTGCTTTTAGGATATGTTTTTGTATTTTGCTTGTTTTTTTTTTTGTGCTACTGAAGAACTCAATTAAAAAACACAGGAAAATTAAAAAGAAAATTTATACACTTCCAACACATTTTTTCCTTTTAAATTACGACTTTTTATAAAAATTTCAATATTTTTTTAATACGAACAATATTGCTTAGCAGCAGATTTGAATTTGTTTTCTATTTTTGTTCATTTTATAATAAAAACTATATTGAATTCACTATATTTTGCAGGTATTTGTTACGCTGAATATTTCGGAAGGTGTAATACAATATATGTATGCCTATATGTAAATTTGGATGTATGTAAACGCACATTTCGATTTTGTTATGAAAATAAAGGATTATAAAACAAATAATTAAAAATGGGAGCTTACTGCCAACAAATTTGTTTGTATTAAAACAACGTTAGAGTGTAATTGTGCGCCAATGTAATCCTTTAAGCACGTTTTACATATATGTGTAACGCTAATTTGTTTTTGGTGGCATATTTGACGAATACACAGTGTGGATATTGTATAAAACTTATTGTGTCTGTGGAGTGGAGTGACAATAGCTCACATTGATGTGGTGATAATGGAAAGTTGAATTAAATTAGGAATGTAAAAATTAAAACTATTAATATCGGATTTTGCAACTCAATATTTAAATGAAAATTTGAGTATTTTTCCAATTTCAATTTTTATAAAGTTTAAGATTTATTGGCTGAAAATAACTTTGTATTGATTGTTAGTAATGAAAAATTGGACTAGGAATTATTTTCAACTAAATTCATTAAAATTTAAGAATTATTCTTGAACATTATAGTACAGTTTTAGTTTTACTCTTTGAAATAATCAGTTAATTTTGCAAGGACATTTGATTATATTCGTGAACTTGAATTAAAGTTTCTTAATTTTCAATGATAGTGGTTTAGTTTATCGAATAATTATGGACTTAATTAGTTAGTTTGTATAGTACAATTTTCTTCGCATTACCTTGAGATTAAATGACTGACACTTTCTTGCCTTATAGTTTAAAGACTCTTTTTAATTTGTAATTGCAATATAAATTTAAATTTTGTAGTTTTCTAAAATACAGTTTTTCAGGTTAGTACTACAAAACATTATTTACAAATTAAATTTAGTATTTTTAAATCTTTGTTAAATCTAGCCTTTCGAACAGTATTTTCGCAAATATCTTTTATTGATCGTAATATTATATTATTAAAAAAGAGATGTCTTCTCTTTAAAATTTTTAAATGCTGCACTGCTTGGAAAACTGCACTTACACTTTAAGCAGAATACCTTCAGTTTCCCCGGAAAACGAATTTTTGTAATATGATTTCCGCAGTTGATTTCACATAAAGAGTGTTTTTTTTTTTGAAACCGAAATAATATGACGATTAACAATTTTCAAAAAATTTTAATATTGCACATGAATTGTAGCCTCAATTTAAAACATGATTAAAATATTTAAATTATTTTACTCATTTCCATAAAATATTCACAAATTTTTTCGTTAAATTCTTTTCATTTTGTGCTATGTTTTTGTCTTTCTGCTCAATCAATTTTATTTTTCTTTTAAATTTATAGGAAAACCCATTTTACATAATAAAAATGAAAATATAAGCTTATATGTAAAAAAAAAGAGAAACGTTTTTCTTTTTATTTAATTTTGAATTTGTATTGTAAGGTTTAATCCAATATTAAATTGCTTTCCTGAATCCAAAATGAAAATTAAAATAAATTACATTTCGCCTACATTTCAATTTAACATTTCACCAATTATTTTTATCATTATTGCAAAATTTTCGTGGATGCTAAATGGGAATGAACTGTGTGTGTGTATACATAAATGTGTTTATATACACAAATGCGATAAATTTAATGAAATGAAGAAGAATCAAGGAAATATGTAATAAAATAACAAAAAAAAATATATATAAAGAGCAGATGAGATAAAACTTGGACATGTTTAAATAAATTTAAAGATATTTTTCACTTCAATTTTAATTTATCAATACTTAACGTTATTACTTTATAAATAATATTGTAAGTGTTAGGTTAGGTATACATATAGATGCAGAGTTTGAAGTATGAAATTATATTTAGGAGTGCAAAAGGGACGCAAGAAAAAAATCTTAAATTATTTAATGTTAAAAAGTTTTATTATAGAATTTGTACCTATACAAGGTGTGCAAAAGCCATGGTACTTCCGAAAAATGGTAATTTTTTAAAGTATTTGGAGGTGTAAGACGAGGCAAATGATTTTCATTTTGGAAAATAAATCTTAAACAATTTTGTTTTTGTTGTGAAAATACTTTGGTTTAGTAATTTTTTTCAATTTGTTTTCATGAGGTTTTCGATTAAAGGATTCTTGAAATTTTTGGCATATTGTATTGTACAAAAATGGAGCTCAAAATACCGACATTATTACAACAAATAGAAAAGTGATATGCCTGATTTTTTGGAATTCTTTTTGAATTTTTTTTTCTAAATTTTTTACTTCGGAATTGAGTGCCTCTGAAACTGACAAAATCTTTGATACGAATGCTAAAAAATTTTGATACATCGCTAAAACGGAAACTGTATTTGCCGTGTTTCTCGAGTTCTCAGTAAAAATGTAAAAATTCAACGGTTTTCAGAAATTACATTTTTAGGATCTTATATAGCTCGAGAACGACTGAAAACACAAAATCTTAATGCGTTTCTTTTTCATCTAGACTAATATTATAAACCTGCTACGGAAGTACCATCAGCTTTCGGACACCCTGTAGGTATATATAATTGTATATGTATATATATATTTTGTCTTTCAATTTCACTCTTAATACCTTAAATGTACATAATAAATCCTATTGTATATTAGTATTCTAATATTATTATTATTTTATATAACATAGCCATCCAATTTTAATAAATCCTCTATACAATTCAATGTGTTTATGAGGAACCAAAAAAAAAAATAAACAAAAAAAAGTAAAACAATAAGAAAAAGTGTCTGTGGAAAATATCCACAAATCTATACTGTTTTAGCCTAAAGCAAGAGCAAATATATTAGCAATCTTAACGCCATATAATGAGCATGAATAAAACATATATATGCATAATATACATATATATATACAAATATATATATATATATGTGTATATTATATTTACATATTCAATAATATTATCAGGTATTCCGTTTTATTTATAGTATTTCCTTCTTATGATTTTGTAAGAATATTTGTCTCAGAAAATCTAATGGCCTAGACATTATGTTCTCCAATCACAATTTATAAGGAATATCTACGGGAGTATGCACAAGAGTGTATGCATAAAAGTATTAATGCATGGACATCCGTCTATACGCAAAAAAGAAAATATTTTTTTTTATATCTATAAAAAGTAGAAATCGCAGTAGAAATAAAGAAATTTGTGAATGTTATCAATTATAACAACTTATAGTTTCATTTGTACAAAGTAAATGTGCAATACAGGTTGGATATACTAAAATTTATCTTAATTACATTGTACTGTCTTTATTATAAAATTTCATGAAAAAAATATTTTTTAACCGGGAATGACATTTGTAAAAGCCAACAACTTTATTAGTTGGCTTTCTTCTATTCTTCTTCCGAATTTCGGCGCACGAAAGTGCCACATTACGCGACCGAAATTTGGGTTTTGACTGTCGCAAGAATCATTCCCATAACTTTGCATATAAAAAAAACTGCGGATCTCCTATTAGAAAATGCAAATCTCTTTTCATATTTTCAATTTGGATGTTTAACTTTTGTTTCTTCTACATTAAAATAAGTGCCATAAATGTTAATGTCATTGATTAAACCTAAACATTGTTTAAAATTTTACTTTTCTTTACTGTATTAACTAATCTTTTCTAAAATTCTTTCGAAATTTTATATACATATTCACATTACGTCACTGTGTCATTATATAGACATAATTTAAAAATATATATTTATCGTTTATGTCATTATTTTATACTTTATTACTTACCTTTTCGACATCCGTCTCAAGAAAAGTAATTTTCTTTCCAATGCTATTTAAATATTCTGGTGATAAATGGGATGTGATATCAAAATGCTTAGATTCACTATGCGTTAATGCTTCATTAGGAGGACAACAATACTGGCTGGTTGACGTTAACCTAAAAACAATACGTCCTCTTGATGTAATTTGTATAGTAGAAGCTTTAACAAGTGGTAGAACTTTAGTTGTTGATGGTGTATCTATATATGTATAAAGAAGTTTCCAAATATTAATGTACATTATAACAAAAATATTATGTTATGTAAATATATTTTAAAAACGAGAAAAAATAGAGTTGACCTTGTCAACTCTGTGATACCCGTACGAATTTGTCATTCTATGTGCGAATAAAGATGCTATAACTGACTATGGGACAGACTATGACTTTAAGTTGCCATATTACCATGTTAATTTATGCAAAATTTCAGTACTGTGTTTTTCAAAATACTGTGTGTGCCAAACTACTATTGAAGTTGTATGGCAGCTACCAGAAAGAACCAAGAAATGTTAACGAATTTTGTCAAGCACATCGGCCGTACTAATATATTCACTTCACTTGTGTGAAATTTCAATAGCATAGCTTGCATAGTTTCTGAGATATACCCAAATAAATTTTGAAATTGTATGGCAGCTATCCGAACCGGTACCCCGATCATGTCCAATTTAAATAGGGTTCTGGCACTTACGACAATAAATCATTTGCGAAAATTTGGTGAACTTAGCTCAATTAGTTTTTGAGTTATCGTTGGGACGAACGGACGGACGGACAGACAAAGCTAAATCAACTCAGAATTTGATGCTGATCAAAAACATACACTTGGGTCTATATCTAACACCGTTATTTCTTAGCGTTACAAACGGTAAGGCAAATTTAGTATACCCTTCGAACATACGTTCGTACGGGTATAAAAAAATTAAGAAGAGATGCAAAAAGGAAAAATGACGAACAAAAAAAAAAAATACCAAAAATAAAAATTATGCGGTAAGAATAATATTGAAAATACAAACCTAAATATTTATAGAAACCCAAAATATTCTTGTGATTAATAACTGTAGATAAAAGTTTATCTTTGTGTTAGGATGAAAGGAAAAACAGTTACTTAAAAACAAAAAGTTAAATTTCTAGAGTAAATCTTTCGATTCTCTTTTAAAAGAGGAATTTTAATTGAAATAGTGTTACCATTTTAAGAGTATAGACGTAGTATTGTATAATAAACTCCGAAAAGTTGCTACATCAGGATACAAATATGTAGTACTCGTAAAAGCACAATTAGTTTATTATTATTGTAGATATCTTGTGAGGTAATATGAGCAAGGGAATTATTATTTTGTATGAATTTCGATATAATATAATAAAAAACGTGAAAGTGGCGTATGGATCAAAATAGCATTCAGCCGACGATATGTATTTTAAAAATCTAGTAAAGGGATCGCCCATAATTACGAAAACGTAACAACAAGCACATCGTCTCTGATTTGTTTTTGCATAACTAATGCTATTTTTAATAAATTTATGAAAACATGAGATTGTCTTTGCTGTCCGAAAAAAAAACTGTATGCAAATAAACAAAAGATGTGGATAAGACCGCAATTGACATTATTGTTTATGACTATATCACGAAAATTGAGCGCAACTTTGTAATGTGTGTTTTTTTAGCTTACCATTGAACTAAAAGTGTTCATTAGCAAGCGACTTATTTATATCTAGAATCATATTTAATTTTGATTTTTTGACGAATAACATAATTTCGAAAGCTTTGGTTTTGCTCATATTTATACAAAATACAGTAAGGTCTATTGATTTTCTGAGAAAAATTTGTTTGTACGCCTAATGTCAACGCTGTTCAATATAAAATGATTTTTTTTTATATTAGGTTTATTAAATTTATTATTAATATCTTTGTATTTATAGCAGAACAGATATTAGCTGCTTTAAGCAAATCTACACTGTGATTAAAATTCATGAGCGATAAAAGAACAACAATGAAAATTTTCCTTAAGGCTACTTATTTTCCTTTTATATAAAATGTATATTTTGTGTTTTTTTTTTGTTTTGTAGAAATTCTTTATTAATATAATTTGGGAAAACTTGAACCTATTAACACATTATAAATTCTATAGGGAAATAAATGTTCTCATTTTTTTTTTGTAAAAAAAAAAATTGTTATAAATTATTTTGTTGTTGATATTTTCTACACTGTGGCTTTTTTTTCCTTTTCTTTCTCAATTACTTTAAATGTGTTTTTAAAACCTAATTGATTAAATGCTTATGATTGTGTCTTAAATACTTCAAAACTTATATGCAAGATTATAACTATACTGAAAAGTCACCTTTGCTTTGAAAAAAAAAATATTTTTTGGACAGCAACCAAGGCGAATTCAATTTTTAATAAAATTAAATTAATTTCTAAATTTCTAAATCTAGAACTGAAACTCTCAGTGTGAAATATGAATTTTAAGATCTTTTCAAAATTCTTTTTACAAAAAAGAATTCTGCCATGAAAATCAACTTTCGTTTTTCAAAACACCCTTGAAAATATTTTTCCAATAAAAGAATTTTTAATGATTTTAAAAATAACTTAAGGTGATTTCGTCAACAAGGATAATATCAAGAAAATAATTAAATTTTTTTGGAATGTCTATATTGATTATCTAAATTTAAAATTATTAAAAGAAATAGGAAAGTATAAGTAGTAGAGTTTTTTTTTTAACTTTTTTTGGAAATATATTATAGGCTATAGAAAAGTTATAAAAAATATTTATGGGATTTTGATTAACAAAATTTTAATAAAGATAAAATATAAGGAGATATCGCAAAAAAAATCAAAAATATTGTAATACAACAATTTACATTGGAAATTAAAACATTTTTGAATATAGTTCTATATTTTTATTAGAAAAACTTGGCACCACGCAACGCATCGTAAATATTAAATATTCGAGTGGTCTTTCTTTAACAAAATTACGAAATTGCTTTAAATTATAAAGTTGTATAGGTAGCAAGTAGGTAATTTTTTTGTGATAATTTAAAATATTTTTTTAAATTCTGAAAAATGACTCGTTTAAGTTTATATTGCTGTTGACGTTTCTCAGATTTATTTTTTAAGATTCCTTTAGCAATGAGTGGAGAAAAGGATATGAACAATTATACTTGAGAATATTAATTTAAAAATTTTTCTCTTTGAAGAAAAAATTTTTAAAGTCCTTTTAAAAATTCTAATCAAATACCTGCTAAAAGTAGCTACAGGTAATTTTCTCTAAACCTATAAATACATAAATTGACAATTTTCAAGAATACAATGTATATATACTTAATATACATATAGCGTCTTATTTACGTTAGAAAAGAATTATTTTTTCAAGCATATACTGGAAAATTTTCATGTCTATACGTATATGTAGATACTATGATAAAAATATCTAAATAAAATTGATATTAAAATGGTAAAATATTTTTTCAATCAAAAGCAAATCTACTTACCAGAAAGAAACAAATCCTGAAGTGCTTGTACCGATTGACATAATAATGCCCACATTTCCATTTCAGTAAGTTTTCCACTTTTAGTTGACATCACATCTGCTAATGTCACATATTTTATTTCAGATTGAATACGTTTTCTACCAGTTATTCCAACTGAAACACCCATCATTGGTAATGGACTTAAAGGAACTCCAACAACAACATTATCATAGCTACCTCTACTACTACTACAGCTATTTACATCATTATTTGATTGAATTTTGGATGGAAATTTAAAATAATTTCTATTTGAATTGACATTAAGGATTCCATCAATATTTTTATTTATTAATTGATTATTATCAACAGCATTATTTCCGGTTACTACATTTAATTTCTTTGCATGACATAAAGTTAAAAGGTCATTTCCGTTTGGAATTTCACATATTTTTGTATATTGATGTGACGACGATTGTAGTTGTTTTGGCTGATGTTTTTGATTTTGATATAAATTAAGTTGCCCATCAGCAATATTTTCACAAGTTGATAATTTTAGTTTTGTTTCGGATTTTATTAAATTACTTGATGTTGTTGCTCCAGCTTTATTTGTGTCAAAATGATGTAATTTAATTTCCTGTTCATTCATAAATTGTTTTCTATTTGAATTTACTATAGGAATTTGATTATTATTGTTTTGCGGTTGTGAATAAAAATTGATTATTTGTTGTGGTTTATGGCATCCATAAAATTTATTTTTATCATTTAAAATATTATTCTCTAATGTCGATTTTATTTGAAGTTTATCTACTGGCTCTTCAATATCCTTAGAAGATAAACAATCATAATATGGTTTTTCGAATTTTATACTAACAGGAGGAATATTTTTATATCCTTTTTTCAATTCTTTAGATGGAATAGGATGTGTTGTTGTTGTAGTTGTCGATGCTGCTATTGCCAATAATCCCGTTGATTGTGAATTTATTAAATTTTCATTGAATGAAATTTGATCATTTGGCTCTGAAATATGAATGTCCATAATTTTTTGTACATTCGAACATGTTGCTGTCTGTTGGCTATTTGGAATATTAGTTTCAGATTTTGTAAAATACGGTTGTTGCAGTTGTTGTTGTTGTTGAAATTTTTCTTGCTGATGATATTTTATTTGCTGATACGGTTGTTGTGAATGTAAGTTTATATAAGTGCTCTGATAATTTTTATTTTCTATATTTGAATAGAATTGTGGTTGAATTTGGATTTTCTCTTGATTTTCTGGTAAAACATGTTCATAATGATAAGCCATTGGTGGTTTTTGTATGTTGCCATTGTTATGATGAGTATAAATAGGATTTAGTTGACATTTTGTATTAATGGACATGTGTGATGGTTGAAAATTAAAATTTTTATTTTGTTGTTGTTGTTGTTGTGGACGTTGCTCTAATGGATTATTCAATAATGGATGTTGCTTTTGTGGAATATATTTGTGAATTTTATCATATTGTTGCAAATATAATCTGGGAGGTTTAGCTGGTGGAATGATATTTTGATTATTAGAATTAGAATTATTGTTGTTGGTAGAATTATAATTATTGAATATTGCACTGGTAATATCGTTCTTATTATTATTATTCAAAATATTTTGATTCTGTGTATTGTGAACTGTACTTTTCGAATCAATTGGAAAATATTGTTTTTTATCACCAATTTGATTTTCTAATAATTTTTTATCTCCTGTATTTGATTGTTGAATTTGGGAATTATATATTGTTTTGCAATCAATTGATTTATTTTTTGTATCTATTGGTAACCATTTTCCAGAAATAAGATTGATTTTTTGATTTTCATATTGCTTATCTTGATTATATTGTATTGCAATTTGTTGCTGCTGCTGTTTTTGTAATTGTTCTTTATTGTTGCTTGATTCATGGTTTGTAATTTGCTGTTGTTCATGGTTCGGATGAAAAATTATATTATGACGATTTAATGTGGTGTTATTACTATTATTGTCATTTGTGTTTGTTAAAATTCCTATAGATGATTTTGGTAGGTCCTTGCACTTGTATTGTAGGTAAGGCCCCCTAGGCAATGTATTTGATAAATAGGCACCATAGGTGGGTCGATAATTTTCTATATTATTATTTATATTATTATTATTATTGGTATTATTGTTATTGCTATTATTATTATTGATATTATTGTTGTTGGAATTATTATTATAATTCGCGCTATTTTTCATTTTATTATATTGTTGTATATTTATTTCTGGTAATGTATTACTCTGCTGTTGAATATATTGGATATGATGATTACTTTTATCATTTTGTATTAATTTTTCATTTGATGAGTGATATGATTGTGTTTTATTAAAATTTAATGAATTGAAATCTGCAAAATTTGTTTTCTCCTTTCCTACATATTTTTGATTTATTTCAGTGTGCAACCTAAAATGAAATTGAACAATAAAAAGTAAATAATTATAATCTATATCCGTAATTGGTATTTTCAATAATTTAATTTGGTTAGAATAAAAAAAAATAAATAAAAATTGGAGTAATAATTGTTTTGAATAACAAAACCAATGCTTTATTTCATAAAACAAGAAATAATATTTATTATTCATTAAATTTTCCATTTAATTGAATTTATACAGAATTTTAAAAATTTATTGTCAAATTTTTGTTTTTTATTTTTTAATTGAATTCTAAAGCAATGGTATGCCGATAAAATAATATTGGATACATTTATAAATAATTGCATTGCGAATATGTTAAAATAAATAAAAATTATTTTAGAAAATTTCAGCAAAATGACATTCAGATCAATCGTGTTTTAGCCATAGCTCCTTTAAAATTTTCACTTTGTTTTGAGCATATAGAAGAGCAAATAACAGAGAAAGTACTGTTTGAGTAGTTATAGTAATTAATCACTATCACATTTCTAAGGCTAAGTTGAAATGGATTTTCAATATTAAAAGAATAGAATTTAGTTATTGGAAATACTTTTACAAAATTTAGACAAATCAAATAGGAACTACTTCAATATTATTATTTCAAAAACAAAAAACTTCTCGTAGCAGAAAATTTCAGTACGAAAAATTACTGAGACTGAAATTTGCTTAGATACAGCATTTTTAATAGCAGAAATGATGTCAGACGGATGAACTAGTCACATATTTTTGTAATGCCTGTTGGAAAGGTAAAGATTATTCAATTTTATTGAAAATTTCAAATTTTGTGGAAAATTTAAAAAACAACAAAAGCTGTTCATAAATTTTTAATGTCGCGATAATATTAATAATTTTTACTTTGACTGCAACACTGTGGTTATTTTAAAAAGTTCTTGTATACTATTCTTACTACTTGTTATGTTGCTTGCTTATGTTGCTTTTCTTCAAAATTATCAACATTTAACTTACACTAGGTATACATAATATTTTAACGGTTCAAAAATACACACAACCATACAAAGAACAAGCATTTCTTAAATACCATGGCGTATATATTTCAACAATGCAATTATTGTTTTGTTTCTCTCATGCTTGAAAAAAAAAATGCATATTCCGGTTGCTGCAATTCTTTGCTCATCAAAATTCATAAAAGTAAAAAAAAAAAGGAGGAAAAATAAACACAGAGATAAGAATATTTTTCTAAATGGAAAGGATAACAATAATTTGTTTCTTATTACTCCTGCCGTCTTCGTTTTTCCTACATAGTGAAAAAAAACAAGCTTTAAAACGAAACAAAGCAGTCAATTGATTTTTTTTTAAAGTGCTGAACTGTGACTGGAGCATTTAATTTTTTGAAACTTTACAATTGTTGTTGCTTTTTTTCATCTTTTTCTAATTCATTTCTGTTGAGAAACAAGGACAATTATTTTGCAAATTAAAGTTGTTAAACGTCTTGGCAGGATATGAATCAGATTCAAGGATTTTAGATGTTTTTCAAAATATTATTTTTTACTTGTTTGTTTGAAAAGGAGGAAAATAAAAAAAGAGAAAATTTTGTAACACATTTTTATTTAAAGCTAAGTGCATATTATAGTTTTATTGTAGTTTGGAAGAGCTCTTTTATAAAAGAGCAAGGTCAAAATGTTAAATATTAAATTTCTATTTTGTAGAGTTACAAGAAAAAAATATAAAATAATAGTGAAAAATTATTAAATATGAGTACTTCAATATTGAAATTTTCAAAAAAAACATTTAATAAAATTTTTAACATCAGCACACTAGTTTTTTAATTACAAATAAAAAGAGCAAATATACATACATATGTAAATATATAGCTGTAGCTATTTCATAAATTCTATTTTTGGTGATTTCTGTAAAATGCTTTTCATGAAATTCTTTGTTTCCTACACAGAAAATTCTCCGTATTTTAAGATGTAGAAAACTGCAGTAAAAACGGCATTAAATCTTAAATACAGTATATCTTTGCAGAAAACCAATTTCTCAAGCAGAATTTTTTTTTTTTTAATTCAAACACATCATCATTTAAAGGTTCCAGTTATTCAAAATTCTAAAAATTTTGTTTTATAGCGTTTTATATCAACGACTTATATTTTAAACGCTTAGCATAATCGATTAAACAATATTGGTTACTTCAAGAAAATTAATTCTACTTTCATGGCCAACTAAAGGCCAACACGATAATAATATTATTCTAATTATTATTAATTAATTAATGAAAATACAATTGATGAATTCTCTCCACTATATATAAGTGGAATATTTCATTATGAATCAAGCTTAACAACACATGTGAAAATTCTAATACGAATCTGTCACATTCTTGTTATTTCATTAACCTAAGTAATATTATGAAATTTAACAAAAGTAGTAATATGAGAATATGCGAATCTGTTAAATTTGTGGTACTTGAGACATGACGTTAAAATATATCAGATTCTATACAAGTACTGAGGTACGAGTATTTTTGATTATCGAGTAATAATATTTATTTCGAGTCCTCGAAGTAACTAAAAGTTAGTATAATTATTTCACTGCATACTATGTTAAATAGGGGAATGTTTACAGCTTGAAAGAATTGTCTCAAAGAAATTTCTTCGATTTTGTTATAGTGCGTATTTACATAATACATATAGAAAATTCAAATTATGATGGGGTGTTATAAATCGTATTTATATAAATAATTTCGTATTTAAACAGCAATATTTTTTAATTTAGTTTTTATATTATTATTTTTTTTAAACACAAGGTAAATATTACAAGTTCAAACACATTATATGAAATGGAATTTTATTTGTTTTCCATCGTCGTTTTCATTTTTTGTTTGTAACTTTTCTTCATTTTCAAATTTTCCAATTATATTTTCTTTCGGAAACTTTAATAACAGATTTACAATTTTATGTTAAACTGACATTTTTAATAATTTTCATGACAAATACCTTATTATTCGTTCCCACGTTTCTTATGAAAAAAGTGTAAATAAAGCATGTAAAAGCCAAAAAAAAAATTTCATTTTAAAGATTGCGTATACATGCACAAACACTGATTTTTCATTAAAATTTTCAATATAAGAACTTATTCTGTAATGTATCGATTATAGCGCACAACAACTTACATAATATTTGCAATGCAGAACAGTTTTTGATTTTCCGAATGTTTGATTAAGTAGCTTGACAAAATAAATTTAAAAGAAATCCATAATTGCATATAAATGAACTACAAACATATCTGAATATTTTTTCAAAAATGAAAACATGTGGTTAGAATAACTTAGAATATAGAAATGTTTCTGTTCATATGCCAGTGTATTTTCTGTTCATAAAATCGAAGCATGAAGATATTTTATTTAAGAAATTCTAAATTAATCAACTTTTACCGGATTAATAAATTTTTATATTCTAAATTTTTTATGAATTATTTGTGTTTTCACAAAAAAATTTGTTATGATATTACAAAATTTCGCATATCAATTTTTGGCGAAAACGCATTTCATTATGGCACGGAAATTCAAATACAGTATTTTTAGCGAAATATATAGGATCTGCAAGTTTGTTGGTTTACTCGTGTATCTCAATTTTAACTGATTTTCGATTCTGATGCAAATTTATGTTTAAGTTTATTTTGGCTATACACCTCGAATTGAGCAATTTTTGGAATAGATTTGATTTTAAGAACTGAATTTTTGTACTAAGTGTAAATTTTACGTTAGGTAGATAATTTTTTAGACAAAATTCAACGACAACGCATCTGACAAGAGAACTAGTTATATAATTTTTAAAAGGACATTTTCATAATCTTGGATAACAATGGATATATAAAATTGCTCTCTTTATTGAATTATGAATTTTTGTTCGCGACTTTATGCTTAACTACAAATTAGTTTTATAATTTTTACTTTATAATTTCTTTAATTTTTTTTTACTAATTAGTAAAAATTTAATTAATTTTAAGTATCTGTTACTGCGTACGTTTAAGTTATATTTCATTGGAAAAAAAATGAGTTGCAGGGCAAAATTTGAATCACGATAATTAGAAAACTCAGGACACTCAGATAGCATACGTCCAATCAATATATTTCAATATTTTAGTACTAATCTTATCCAAATTTCACTGTTTGTTTTTAGATTGTGATTGTTTGAGAAAAAAAATTCCTTCCTTTTTATCTTAAATCATTGTAAATTTTGGCAAAATATAAATTGAGCTTGAGAAAATTTTTGGTTTAAATTTATTTTAAAAATCATTAGAATTATTTATGCAATTTATCTAAAGTGATTATTTAGCTAAAATTTAATTATAAAAGATGTTTATTAAACTAACTTCGACCTTGTACAAATAACGGCCAGAAAATTCTTATAATAAATTATAAAAACAAATAAATTTTAATAGAAATCTTTCATTCTCATAATTTGTATACATATTATTCCAACATAGTTTCAATACAACGTGTATAGCCGTTGCGATTATAATGGAAAGGAATCGATGTGATGCTGACAAAGAGGAATCGATATTATGGTAATTAAGTCTCAAATTTATATCTTATTATTTTGCGTTACATGAATAATGATATAATATGATTTTTAAAATTTTCTAATAAATTATAAAAAAATGAATATGATGAGGTATTACGTAAAATCTCAAAAAAAAAAAAGAATTTGTTAGCATATCATATTATAAATTATCCTTGCTGCAATTTGTCATCATTTCATTTACAAAGGTCCTTGTAATATAAAATAACATGTACCATTTCCATTTTTTTTGTCATTATTAATTTATCCGTTTCTATGAATTTTTTTCAAAAAAGCATGCAAAGATATTCTCTTTACGCGTATTTGTGTGTACACTGCACACATTGCTTTTAAGCAGTATACGTGGGTCTATATTATTATCTAATATCTAAAATAGAACATTATCAACCTTGGATTGTTTTTATCTTGTTAAAAAAAAAAAATTAAGCAAACTTTTTCATCAAATAGAAAACTTTTTAAAGGTCTCTATAGAATTTTTCATCAAAACAGACAAGTCAATTTTTAAGAGTATACCTAATATATAGGATGCTTAAAAGTATTTTTAATCTGTGTATAAGAATTACAATTTTCGCACATCAATCATTAAAAATCACATTTTGAGTATTTTAAAGTAGGTACTTATTTAAAAGAAAAAATTAAACAATTTCCTTGTAATGTGTAAAGCAAGGTAGCATGGTAAATTTTATTATATTAAAAATTTGGTTGTTTCTATCGAACACATTGTATACGATAAGGGAGGTAATATGATGGCACCAAATTTCGGATGTCGAGTTTTTGGTTGAAATTTTTGGAGAGATCTCGGTTGGGTTGTTTGTCTGTATGTGTATGCGTGTATCTCAAGTTCGGGTGAACCAATTTTTGTGAAATTTTTTATATATGTATCAGTTTATTTTGGCTATGTCACAGATTGATCAACTTTAGGGATATATCAGACCGATTGATAATTTCTCTTTATTTTTGCGAAAATAAAGAGAAATTATCAACTAATTTACTTGAAATTTAATTAGGCTCGAAAACCGAACTGGGGGCAGATTCTACATTTTTTACCATGTAAGCCGAACGGATTGATGGAACTTTTGGAAGTTTTATATTTGAGTTCGGTTGTTCTGGCTGAGAAACTAACTGATAAACTTTTCAGGGAATTTGAATGGCCAAAACTCTACTTAAAGACAAATTTACATTTTTTGATGAATCTTAACTAAAAGCCTACTATACTGTCCTCAAAAGTAAAAAAATATGTTTAAAGCGCATTTTTATAATCTTTTGCAACGCTTTCACTAAGCTAGACAATATGCATTGCGGTCGGTTATATGCTGATCACATCAGATTTTTTAAGATGAAGTTTGTTTTTTAAAGAATATTATTAAACATAATGTCTTTATTTTCTTCAAGGTTTTTTTTTTTTTTGAAAAAGTATTGCAAGTTGTCAAAATTTTTAATAAGTTGAATGAAATTAAATTAATACTAAGTTATTTTCAAAACTCATTATATTCAAAAAAGATTAGATTTTTTTTTTAGATTTTCAAGATTTAAATTTAGATGTTGTTGAGAAAGAATTTCTATTTGGAAAATATTCAAAATTTGTGGTTGGATTCAGAATATTTTCAAATTTCAATTCGGAAAAACATTGATAATCTTTTACTGATTATGACAGCTTGCATCCTTTTTTACCTTTTTAAATTAATTAACATAGTTGAATTTCTGACAAGAAATGTCCTTTAATTTTATATTAGTTTTACGTAGCTAGATCCAATTATGTACGTGTTACGGACAGGTATAAACGTTGCGGGTTAAACGATAAGATTTATAGTCGATTTATGGGGCAAAAACTTCTGGGTGATTTTAGATTATAGTAATATGCAATTCTAAATGAATTATATTTTTAATTTTCAATGTATAAAGGGCTTGTTCTCATGAACAATAATACTAAAATCTGATCTCTGACTCACACTTTGAGTACAGAGCAATTAAGATCCTTTTTAATTTATTATTATTTTAGAAATAAAATAAATTTATGTAAATAATTTCTTATTTCCGAAGTCTCTTTTATCACAATTCTACTGTAAAATAAATTCAAAATTGTGCATCAATATTTTCTTCATACATATATACCTTCATAATTATGTAAGTTATACGTAAGAATATTTTTATATAGTAACTGTTAAATATACATGTATATTCATTACAAGTACTTAATTTTGAATTTAAAATTTTCATAAATTATTATTCATTACTATTGTTATACATTATATTATTAAAATGAGAATATTCTAGACCCAACAAAAATAGATAAGGCAAAAGAAATAAAATACCTAACCAACTTTTGATATATTACCCAAAATTAATGAAGTTCGGCCTTGAAAAACCAAAAAAAAAAAAATTAAATTATGTTGATTTCGTTAAAATTTTTGTCCTGGTTTTTTTAAACCAAAAGAATTTTTTTTCTTTTTTTTTTTCTTTTTTATATTTTTTAACGCTATATAAGTATAAAAGTGAAATAATGATGTCATTTATAGCAAAATTGATAAGGTGGATTCCAAATATTTTTTTTTTAACACGTGTACCATTCAACACTGAATCTTTAGAAAATGTTGATTCATTGTGTAAAAAGTGTAATATATTTTATCATATATAAAATATTCGTATGGGAAATGAATTCCTTTGGGGGTTTCCTACATTAGATAAACAAAAAAAAAAAAAAAAAAATTGTCAATAGAAAATATTTTTGATTTATGAAACATTTTAGAGATTACATTGGAGGCTCTCAATATTTGAAATAATGTTGCTTGTTATTCAATACCAAAAAATTTCCCAGTGATTTTTAAAATAAACAAGTAAAATGTATTTTAAGAACCAGGGTGCATATTATTACAAGAATATATGGCCTTTTGTTGAAAAACTTTTATTAAGCGAAAAATAGGAAGGTCGTAAATTCGTGAAGATATTCATGAATGTGAGACAAAAAAGTAGAGAATGGTAGCACATGTTATTAACAAATTGTATTCAAAGGCAATTAATTAAAAATTTTGTTGTTAAATAGACCGAAAATTTTAAATTTTCTATTCTAGTGTCAAAAACTTTAAAAAATTCATTAATACAAACTTTCCATTTGTGCAACTAAAAAACTGTTCTGGTTAATTACTTTTCGTGTCTTCATTTTAAGCAAATTAAAGAAAGTTAGTCTTCACCCATAATAATTAACTTCTCCAAAAAGAAAAAAGTTAGTTCAAAATAAATTTTTGTTGTTTGTGTTTCTGGGATGCAATTATCTGCTAGATACCGACATACCCGTCGGAAGTTTAGCACCTTCTGAAAATAATTTTTCAGATGATGTTAAACTTCCGGTTTCTTGAAAATAATGTATATGAAAATAATGTAGAAAGTATACAATACAAGAAGTGGTTTTAGGTCTTCTAAAATTTCGATAAAAATATGTGCAATATGTGTGATACGAAAACCTGCCTTCATACACACAGAGTTTAAATTAATTTCAATTATTTTACGCATTTGATTGTTTAAAGGCAGACGTTTTTTTTACCTCCTCATTTGTATTTATTATAGTAAAGAAATTTTTAGATAAAACTTATTTAGTTACCACAAACTCTATCAATTTAAGATTGGCAATGCGTGCTTAATTTGTGTTCAAAAGCTAACTATCATCTAAATCTAAAAGAATCATTTAATCATCTAAAAGAGAAACTACATAACAAGTTATTAATGTTAATTTTAAATAACCCATGTTATGGCACAAAGTTTTGCATGTCGAGTTTTCAGTGGAAATGTGTTTGTCTATGACATATTGGAAAGGTTGACTAAAATATTTTTTTAGAAATTTCAGTTCTGTTTACGGATGGTAGTTATAATTTTGCCCATATACAGTGAAATAATCAACCAATTTTTCTGATATTTAGATAAGATCAAATAATGAGGCGGTCAATTTCTCAGGAGCATCAGGGAACGGAAACTGAACTATCACGATAGGTGAATTTTAGATTTGTACCATATTTGAGGAATTAATTCAATTTCTGCAAATTTGGTATTTGAGTTTCGATTATCAACAAAATCAATTGATAAAAATGGAATCACAAAAAATCAAAACCTGTTAAGAATAAAATTTACAATTTTCTAAGACTTATGCGACACTTTAACAAGGCGGTTATGTGCTGATCACATAAGATTTTTTTTCCTACCGTTCGTTTTTGTAGTATATGCACTGTTAAACCTTAAATTACGAGTACAATACTACAATTTATAAATTTGATCATAAAATATTCTTAACAAAAATGAATCAATGCATTGATTTAGAAAATTTAAGTCAGTTGTATTTTTATTGCCATGCTATAAGATTTTATAATCAATATCTATAATTTATTTAATTTCAAGCCTGTATTATACGCAATGTATGTAAGAAGTACATAGGAAGAATATAAGGACACAATTTTAGAAGCTATTCAATTCTTACCTTGGTAAGTAGTTTATCGAGAAATTACACATTTTGGCTAAAAATATGTATTAACAATTTTATATTGTAGGTTCCCTTTTGCCTATTCATTGTTATTATGCCTCTCATCATCATTAAGGCAGTATTAAATAAATTTTATCAGAAGTAATATATTTTGCTCTAATATACATACTGTATGTCCTGTTTTTCTTTCACGTTTACCACGAATTTGTGTAAACAAATTTAGTAAGAAATATTTTTTATAAATTAGTCTGTCCTAAATATTAGCCATTTAATTTTCGGTATTTGAAACCTGTTCTTGATTATGAATACATTATGCTTCCAACTTTATCAATCATAAAGGATCAATCATAAAGGAAAAGAATGATTGAGAATTAAATTTTAATATTGATTATAAATTTTCATACTATATGAATAAAAATTCGAATTTCCAATATTATATATGATAAGTTTGATGCAGTAGCTAAAATGATAAACTAGCAGTTAAATGTTGAAAGAAATCTTAAATCTGCCCGTTGTCATTGCACCCATCACATAAAATTGGCAGAATATACTGTTATAATTAATAAATATATTGTTCTGTTGTCCCTTAAAAGTTACTCACATTCGATGCTTTTACTCAATATTAAAATATAAAAGTTCGATTTCATATAATGACACTATAACAATATACACCATCAGTATCATCATCATCATCATAGTCATTTATATATATACTTTTATATGATCACTACCTTACACATATAATATTGTGTCGGTGTTTTATGTAGTGAATTCATTTACTGTCAAAAAATAATAAGGAAGAGGAAATAAATCGAATAAAATAGTAAAAAAAATAAAAACAAAAAAACAATAGCTTTAGATTTTTTTTGTCTCTTTTTTTTGTTGTTGTTTCCTTTCTATTCTTGTATTTTTCTCTTTCTCTTTTAGTATACTATTTCTTATATTAGAATTTTTTTTGTATAATTTTTTCGGTGTCCTGATTCAATATTATTGTTTGAAATTACTTTTCTATTTCATTTATACTGTATAGTATTTGTTCACATTTTTCTTCATACTATTTCAACTGTAGTATATTGTAATGGTAATAATAATGGATAAAATAAATATATACAAGATAAAAAAACAAGTTTTTCTAAATTAGACCTGGTTTTTGAAAAGCATAATTTCTTTAAAAGTATTTCAACTTGCATAATGATTTTTATTTTATTTTGTATGTGGAAGATCAATTAGTATGCATATTGGATTGGATTATTAGAAAAACCGGGAAGTTAATGAGTATAATTTCCCCTTTTTTCCAAGATTTTGGAAAACTAAAATTATTAAAAAAGAATGAAATATGCACTTCATTTATGCATATGTGTGGAATTCCGCTTATGATGTTGAAAGTTTGAGGCTGTGTGATCCCATTTCACTTAGCAAAATTGACTTATAAATTTTCAAAAAATGAATTTTCGCTAAGTTTTTCAAAAATCACTTTAAGTGATCATTAAATTAAAACAAATAACACTTAGTGTATGAGCAGTGAATTAAAAAAAAAACTTTTCAAAAAAATTTTCAAAATAAATCGATACAAAAATAGACAGCTAAAATAATTCAATCTATTGTAGAATATTTCTTTTTTCATAGAATTTTTAATGTACCAACATATTTATATAGATTTGACCATATTCACAAAATATGAAGGCAATATGGATACATTTTGGAAAGTAAAAATTTTATATAATAACATATACGATACAATGACATGTTGCTTATGATCCCTTAAATAGCATTGATAATGATGATGATAATGATGATGATGATAATGGCGATGTTGTTATTGACGAAAATTATTGTACTTTCCATTATATTGTTCATATATTCTTCATAATATTATTATTATCTTTATTTAGGATAATACTTATAAGGATATTCTTAAAAAAATATTATGTAACAATATTACTTTTTTTTTATATTTTATTGTTTTTTTTTTTTCATTTCGTTTACTAAATAAATATATTATTACTGTTGTGTTGTATTAAAGCGATATCCGATTTTCAAATTTACCTACAAAACATTTCATCTCAACAGTTGGATATTAAATTCATAAATATTTTTGTAAAATTAATAAAATATTTTAAACATTTCATTGACAACTCTGTTCTTTTTCATAGTTGCGGCGATTGTGCGTTTGAGAATTTTGAATGAAAAATTTTCAATATTCTAATAATTTCGTATAAGATATTTCATCGATTGTTTTCTTTAAAAAATCTCACTTTAATCATTAAAAGCTGTTTTTAATATTAAAATCCCAACATAATATGCAGCTTTACAATATTCGGTCTAATTTTCTTCCGATTATTTATTCTTTCTATTATTAGTTATTCAGAATTCATAGAACTAGCAAACATTTTTTTTATGTTTTTCCATTTTTTTTGCATTTTATTAAAAAATCTATGCAGAAAATAGATTGCTCGAAATTAATTTGTATTCGTCGGCTTTTGTACTAATATAAGTAAGAGGGTGCCTAAGGCTAAACTTTACAGTAGCATTGATTTTTTTTTTCTTATAACTCGCTAAATTTTTAACTCGCCGTGCGGTAGTTGCCTTACGTTAGATCGTTCATATATGGGACGACTGCTATTAAGTAGTCGTTTTATGTATATATATAAATATATATAAATAAAATTTGAAGAATGTAGAGTAATCACAAATTTGCACAAAGCTACTTCAACTCTATTACATTCAGATTTATTCACTGTTTGATACCCTTTACATACTAGTGTCATTACTGAATCTTATTTCTTCAAAAAAAAAACAAAATTATTAAATTTCTGAAAAATTTTTATTGATAAGACTCATGTATAGAATATTACGACCATATTAAATTGTGAAGACTATACTAATGGAAGACACATATAAGTTATTTGAAAACGCAAAAAACGATCCGAAAGAACTTTCTAAAAAAAATTCTTTGATCATTTTTAAATTTTTAACATTTTCAATTAAATAATATAAAATAGAAAAATATAAAAAACCTGAGGACATCTGGGATTCGTACTTTACTGGATACAGTTTAAAACTGTTGCTCAAGTTATAAAACTCAATAATTATAAAAAATTTATGAAAGATTACGAAATCATGTCATTAATTTAGAATAAATGGATAACAAGGGAGGAAACTTTTAGTATTTTACAGACTAAATAAATTTAGGATTTTCATTTCATGTATTAAGTAACTATTTTTTGTTTACATTGAGGAACAAAGATTGCATACTTAGGATGATTTTTTGATACATATTTCTCTAACTTCAAGTACAGGGATAAACACTCTCCCTCCAAATATAAAGGCTTATATTTGGAGGGACAGTGTTTATCCCTTGTATTCCAAAGGAAAATTCATTAATTTTTGTTCAATAATTTTGAGTGTTACAAATTATGCATAAGATTTTTAACTTAAAAATTTTTATTTCCCAAATGAATTAATAAAAAAAATTAATGAAAAATTATCACAGTTAACAAGTTAAAATTACATTTTTACTGATAAGAATCTTTGTATTATGCTCTCATCCGTATAAATTAACAAACCCAACCGAAATATTTGCTCCTATACACTCACAAATTATTACAGAAATATTTTATAAAATACATAATGTACCTATACGTTTATTATATATCTATTGTATTTAGTTCTTAGAAATATTGTTTTATAATATAGCCACAGTTAGTTGTTGTATATATAGGAAAAGGAAATGATGTCCTGCCAAGGAATAACTTTAAAATTTGTTAGAAATATTTTTGTTTTTTTTTTCTCTTTTTATTTTTGTAGAAATGATTAATGTGTAGGCGCTATGACGTATAAAATATATTAGGAAAATAAATTTTTGTAAATAACAGTATGTCAAATCATGATTTATTGTGATCACAATTATATAGAAAACAAAGAAAATTAAAAGTTTTCATTTCTTTTAATATTCTCCCTTGTCAAAAAAATAAGAATTTCTATCTTTCAGTAAAAATTTGTAATCATTTAAGATTGTCAACGAAATATTTTAAAATATCGCTTTAATTTAATAAGCAAATAAATGAAAAAAAAAAACAGG